TGTGCCACCCAGGTGCCCTATAAATTACATCTTTGCAACTATTTAAACTTATTTTGAAATTTTTTGGATGTCAACTTGAAAATATGTCAAAGAGGACATGGTTTTTCCAAATATTTTTCGGGTGTCTAAGAGAAAAATGGCTTGAAGAGTACTGCTTTACTTCACGGGCCCAATGACTGCTGGTGTGCCTAGTCTTCAGTGTATCCTTACTAATTTTAAATCTATATTAGAAAAGCTTTTTACATTAAAATTTTTAATTCTTTTCAATATAGATTTAAACTGTTCTCTTCAAACCAAGAGAAATATCCACATCACACATTTCCTACAATGAATTCTAGCTTTCCATGCTTTATTCTCTTTTATGCAAATATTCATATTTAAAATTGTAAGACTGTAAGTTCACAGAAAATAGGTATCTCCATCAAAGCACACACACCCTTTCAAGCTCTGTCTATATGATGATTCATAGCAAGCATATGCTTGTTCGTCAATATGCTCTGCTAGCTTCTGGTTTCTGCAGCCTCAACTAGTTCTGCAAGCACCAGTGTCCTGTTGTTCCCCCATGAAAAGCCTTTTCCTGCGCTCTCAGGCAGACTGGATCACTTCCTCTGAGGTGCTTCCAAAGTACATGGAACCCCCATCCATTGTGCTCAGGTCCAGAGCAGTGAACATATAGCTGGTCAAAATCACTTCAGCTGTGAGTTCAAAGCCAACTGGAACCATAAACTGGAGGTAAGAGCCCGAGAGGCAAAGACCACAATCCTGGACATGACACAACAAAGAGTGGCCACTGACGTAGGCTCAGGAGATCCTGGAATTGTCACATCGGACAACTTTTCCCATTGTGCTCATATCTAGACAGGAGTTGGAGCTCTCGGAGAGAAGGGGAATAAAGTAAAAGGAATAGGAGCAGAACAAAGTAAAGGGTCAGTCATTTTTCTATGCAAGGCAATCTTACAGATGCTGGAGGAGCCATTAGCCTACTTCATCTTGTAAAGTTGTGTTTATTTACTCAGAGCTGGCAGCTTTGAACCCTTGCCGAAGTCTGGTTTAGAAACGCAAACCCATAGAGAAACTTTCTATCTTGTTACACATCCCATCATAAGACTGACATTTTCTGTTCTGTTTGTTATGGGCTGGTGGGTGACTTTAATTTGGTTTTCCCTCCAGTCCCCAAGTCCCAATCTTTGCCAAATCAAGAAGCAGGCAGGGAGGGGAAAAGAGGGAAAAATACATATGCATTTGCATTCACCAAGTGATCTCAGAAGTAACTTAATACTGGTTCAGGTTGTCCATGTCTTACAAATCAGTTTCATTCTGTGGATTGTTTACATACCACTTCTAGTATGTCTCTAATAAATTAAAATCTTGCTGAAATGGTAAAATATGCTGAAGATATAGTGAATGGTCTACAAGCTACACAGAGGGGCCATTATTCTAAGAGGAAATAGGAAAAGCAATCATAAAATTTTGAAAAATTATGCAATAACTTTGTACTTATTGCCCATTTGTATTCATTACAATGACCTACTTCATAGACATATAAATAGAATGGGAAAGTAACAGATCTACAGTGTGCTCTAGACATGGCTTTCAACTCCAGTCAATGAAATTCAATTAGAGTCTTTAATAAAGAAAACTCCAAAAACGCCAAGCATTTGTCTGCATATTTCTCCATGCAGTCCTGAAGTTACTCACTTAACTTCCTTTCAGTTCTTTCCCTTTCTCTTCTCAGAAAATCTCTTTTGTGGAGAGACGAGAAGGCACATTTGCTCGGGTTTGCCGGGCGGTGTGGGCACATCAGTGGCATCGTTCTCCATGGGCATTGAGCTCTCTCTACCACATCTTCCATAAGCAATTAGTTGCACTCCAGCAGGACAAGATCATGCTGAAAGTTCTCGAAAGGGAAGGACCACACAGATAAGACCGTGATTGCCAGGGACTCGGAACAGGTTTTACAACAGGCAGGCCGATCAAAGGGGCTTAACCAAGATGGTTTTTAATCATGTTTGGGCACTGGAGAGTTCTCAGGTTCAAAGAAATGGTTCTGTGTTTTGTTTAGTTTTGGCAAACCTCTCTTTTCTTCAATAACCTCGGAAAAACAAAGCCAACAGAGTGAGGCCATGCTCGATTTTGTTTCCCCGTTCAAGCAAAATATACCACCTTGAGGAGGTCTTTTTCTTATAATCAGTTCTGTATATTTTTAAGACTATTTTGAATAGGACGTGCTCATTTGAACGTTTACCCTTTTGAAACTAAACCACTTTTAAACTGTGCTGGGAACCATACAAATTAACTGTTGTGGAAAAAAAAAATGTTCTAGTTGTGTCTTTTATTGTTTTGCAAAGCTCAATGTCAAAAGATTCAGCATCACCATTTTTTGTTTTTGTTTTTGTTTTTTTTTAATCCCCAATACAAAAGAAGTAGCTATAATGGGAAGCAATAATGTGGCCCAGAACAAGATGAGAAATTGACCACCTTTGTAATCCAGGGGCCAAATGAAGGAAGATCTTAGGCTAACTCAGGCTCACTGAATACACAACTGCTTTCTTACCTTCTCCTTCTTGCTTCTTTTTCTCTCTCTTCTTCTTTTCCTCATTCTCCATTTCCTCCTCCCATTCCTCCCTCTCCTTTCTCCCCCTGTTTGCCAGTCAGCAAACCCGTGCAAACTTTAGAAACTCTGCCTAATTCCCTGGTAGAGTGGGCAGAGGGTGACTTCGTGGAAGAAAGAGCTTCCTTTTGTTTACTTACAAAAGTACTGATCTTTGAGAACAATATCCCATTGTGCACTTCTAAAGATTTTGTCAAATCTTTAAAAAGGAGGGAGGAACAAATCTCTAATTTTCAAATATCTCTTTTTATTTTTTTTGTAGAAAAATAAAAAATGAATATGCAGAAATAGTAAAAATATGTTAGGCAGCTGGAGTTGCAAGAACATTATGTAGCACATCACTTAATCACAGAAACCACAATGCAGGGGAAAAAACCCTAACCCAAATGTGCTGTTTAATAATCACCGAGGGTCAGAAGGAACCCACAAGCATCCCAGAATCTGTGTCCTTAGCTTACCTCCAATTTGGAAGGGGGTGGGGAGATAATGGAGAAGGAAGCCCATTATGTGTTCCTAATTGCTGTTTATGGGTCCCTGCACAGCTTTTAGTCATGAAGCCAATTAAGAAAGGAGCTGGAGTCTGGACCCCTTTCCCAGTTTGGTAGATCTGTAGTAGGTCCCTGAATGGTTGGTTTTTGTTTAGTTTTGTTTTGCTTCACTTGACCCAGAACTCTGAGAGTTAGTCTTGGAAAGAGGTAAATACTGAGGGAACATTTGAATGAGGGGGGAAAAAGAGGAAAGTTTCAAAATATGTGTTTGTAGAACTCATCTTGGAGATTCTGTGGTGGACCGGGAATGGGGCAGGGTGAGCATGAGGCTGGCCGGAGGTGAATGAGCTGCAAGGCAGCGGGTGCCTAAAGCCAGAATATTAATTTCATCCAGCCCCAGAGAAACCTTTTAAAAAGAATCAGGGGGAAGCATCCCCAAACACGAAGACTTAGAGGACATTTGAAAATCAGAGATGGGGGAGCAGTCCAATCTGGCAGATGGAAACCCAGGAGCAGAAGTTGGCAGGGCGTGGATGGGCTTAGGGATGAGAAGTCTGGGGGGCAAAGAGATGCTCACAGGGAGATGTTTATTGCCTTCTTGCCATTGTAAATGTTCAATGCTCTCAAGCCAAATTTCAGAATTTCTAGGGTTTATCAAGTAAAAGTAGACTTGCGGCAAACACGATGACATTCTCGTATATTCATTCACCAAAATGTCTGCCTCCTTTAAGATCATTTTAACTGGGATAGGTCAGTAGTGGGCCCTGTTCTGCTCCTATAAGGATCCTGCAGAGTAACTCTGATGACCTCATTCAAACTAATAAGCATCATATTCTTCCTCTCTCTCTCTTTTTTTTTAAAGATTTTATTTATTTATTTATTTGAGAGAGAGAGAATGAGAGAGAGCACATGAGAGGGGGGAGGGTCAGAGGGAGAAGCAGACTCCCTGCCGAGTAGGGAGCCCGATGTGGGACTCAATCCAGGGACTCCAGGATCATGACCTGAGCCAAAGGCAGTCGCTTAACCAACTGAGCCACCCAGGCGCCCATATTCTTCCTCTCTTAAATCCACATCACTCACCTCTTAAACATCACGGAAAGAGAACGCGACATTTTAGAAGGTGTTGTGCTGACCCACAAACCGGGGCTCCATCTAACTGAAAAGGAAAGCTTGTGCTATAGTCATTAAATGAAAATGTTCTCTCTCCAGTGTCCTCTGTAAGTTACTTAACCCAGACAGGCTGGCATCGTGAAATAATTTAAATGCATTCAGTATTAGTAAAATACAGATTGCATTGTAGGGATTCTTCCCCTCTTTAAGTTTTTGTCCATGAATTGCTTGAGGGCAAAGGCTTCGTCTTACTCTTCTTGGAGGAAGATAATTGTACTGCCTGCAGAAAAGACAGTATCTACTACAGTGCTTTAGAACATAATAGGTTCTCATTAATTGCTTACTGGACGGATGGAAATTACTTGGCTCCTGGAACTGAGTTTCAGGATACAAAATTCTATCAGTGGAAAACTTCAGAGTAGAAATGTTTTATTAGGCCTGAGTGATTGTTTTTCTTTCTTTGAGGAGTATTATCAGGTACCCCAATCCCTGCCTCTGGATTTCCAGAATTCTTTGGTACAAAGCTGTTATCATTATTTGGGTACTTGATTAACACCTCATAATAGCAATTAAAGATTCATGGTTCTCTCTCCGTCTCTCTCTGTCTTTTTTTTACCTGCCTTTGGTTTTTCTCCACATCCTAGTGACTTGACACAACAGCCTGAGAGAAAGAACCTATTCCAAACCTGGCCAGGGAGTGGGAATGCTGGCGTGTTGCATCTCAAGTCAGGTCTCAGAACTGAGTAGGGACAAAAGCCTCACTCCATGATGAAGGGAACATCTTCCACATCTAAAAATATGAACACTTCACGAATTTGCATGTCATCCTTACACAGAGGTCATGCTAATCATCTCTGTATCATTTCAACTTTAGTATATGTGCTGCCGAAGTGAGCATCATAGTTCTCTTTTATATATGTGTTTAATCAGACAGGTCCTCAGGCTTTTCTCCTGACAGCCTTTGGAACAAGCCAAATCAAAAGCAAGTGTGTAATACTGTAACAGAAGTTTCTATATCATACTAAATCTTTATATACCTTTATATTGCAATTATTTCTCTTTGCTATATTTTTGTGATAGATTTCAATTTTATATAGTCAAATACATTGCTCTTCATTGTGTGGTTTATGTCTTTGGTGCTCTGTTTAGGAAGGTTTAAATGCCATAAATTTATATACATATTAAATGATGGTTATTTTATTGTTTTTATTATTTCACATTTTACATTCAATTTATTTGGAACTGAATTTGATGGGAAAATACAATTTTATATCTGTTTTCCCCAAACAGCCAATTGTCCTGAAACTACGTATTAAAGAATTCAATCTTTATCATTTACTAAACTCTTATCTGTATTTGAGTCTACTTCTGACCTACTTTGTATTTCACTATAATAAGATTCTTAAGAGTGGGAACATTGTCTTATAATTTCTTTGTACTTCTAGAAACTGCAGCAGTGCTTAGTTCTCAATAATTATTGAATCAATGGATCAATTCTCCATTTCACTTAATTGATCCATCAGACTTGCCAATTTTACTGTATAAATATTTCTGGAATCATTCCTCATCCTTTTTTTACCCACACTGCCTGCCCTACTTCAGGCCCTAATAATTACAGGGTTTTTCCAATGCATCTTACACACAAATGGAATAAAGTTCTAAAATGCAAATCTGATCAAATAACCTCCCTGATTAAAATCTGTGAATTTCATTTCATGTTCCATACCTTTGAGGGTCACCAAGGCCCTGAGCTCAACCAAGTGAAACTACTTTTAGTTTTCCAAACATGCCTGGTTGGTTTTTATTTTGTTTTGTTTTAAATCTTTGCCTTTGTAAAAGTTGTACAGCTTGGTAAGTGCTGTGATAGAGGTTTTGACAAAGTGGATTAGGATAAGGAGAGGGGATTCTTGAGAATAGAAAGGTAAGTGAGTTTTGACCAGGACGAACAAAGGTACAGAGGTGTGGAAGAGCGTCCACGCTGTCCCAGGACCAAAGTCTTTGAGAATGACTGGGGGGTGGCTGAAGGTGAAGACACAATGGGGGCCAGACCATGAATGCTCTTGCATGTCATAACCATGGACTTTGAGTTTTTCCTACAGGAGTCAAATTTAAATGGGGAAGTAGCTTGATTACAATTTATTTTTTTAGGGGGGAGGTAAAGTTGATAGCAGCCTGAAAGATGGATTGACAGAGAATGAGTCTAAAAGTCAGAAACCAGGTTAATAATAGATTCTTCAATAATATAGGTGACATAGGATAAGGCCAATAGTTTTGAGAATCAGAAGAAGGGGTGCATATGATGTTAATGTAGAAAATTCTATAAGATTTTGTGACTGCTTAGGCAGGAGGGTGAATAAAAGAAATAACTAGTGAGTGACCCCCTCACACCCCAAATCTTGCGCCTACTGCCATTTCTGTCTTGGACTAATTGGGTAGATGGTGATGTTCTTTACCAAGATGGGAAATTCAGGATGAAGACTTGTTTAGAGGATTGTGGGCAGTGGGGAAGAAAGGAGAGACAATATACTTAATATTGGACACATGGAGAGTTTCCAGAAGGAGGAAGCTGTTAAGAGTGTCAAATGCAGCAGACAGGACAAGTAAGATGCAGACGGAAAGTGCCCATTTGGACTGAGCAGTGAGAAGGTTTGAGTGTTCCTCCTAGAAGCTGAGAAGTAAGAAAGCAGAGACTGTCAGTACAAACTTCTCTGGAAATGAGCTTAGCTGCAAAGGGAAATAAACATGTCGATCCGTGGCTATAGGAGGCACCTGCCCTACACCTTTTATTTTACCATGGGATTCATGGGAGCTACTATTGTCTCCACGCTGGAGTGTAACCTCTTTGAGGCCAGAGACTGTGTCGTGGTTTCCTGGATGACCACTTGGTTCTCAAAGCCCTAACATCTTACGAGTTTCTATTCCTCTGCAGTGTCTATAATTATCTTGGTACTCGGGCAGGAGAATTCAATTACATGGTTGCTGAACTGAATACTGTGGATGGGTGACTCACAGCCCTGAACTGGATTATTCAAAATGTCAGTGCCTCAATTTCCTCCTCATCAACAGCAATTACTATTGGAGTTCTTTTAATAATAAATTGAACATGGAAACATTGTCCTTGCTGTCAAGAAGTGTTCACATTCATCTACTTAATGAGAAGGCCAGTCTTCCTTCCTTCCTAGAAATATGATGAGAAGTAGTGGATATATGAAGGCGAATGCACGCATAGTGCGCTAAGACATGGCTAAGCCATAAAATCTCTTTTCATACGTTATGCGCTCTGGGTAGGTACAACCACGAGTCAGCTAACCACACGAGATGCTTTTAGGTCTGGCAAGTGGGATGGAAAGCTCGCTGCATCAGTCTCCTCTGTGAGTGCCTGCACGCTTTCTGGTTTCAGGCTGGCAACGTCCTGTGGTGTGTCTGGCCTGGCCAAACCCAGGAAGTACTGAACTTATTAAAATTTAAAAACAAACCAAAGATGTTTGGAACCTCCCAAAACACTCACGTTGTGTCTGAGAGTGAGGGCTTGGATTCAGTTCTTATTCGACATGAGCACCATACATCAGGAAAACACAAACAGTGCAGGGCAATTTTATGAAAGGGCTACACCCTTGCATTCGGTCTTATGACAGTCTCAAAAAGCAGCTCCTGTCCAGGGCCTAGGGGAATTTGGTGAAGCATTCTGTCTTTTTTCGATTCCTTTTTGTTAGGCTGCCATAGGAATTTGTGCCTGGGAACACACTTTTAAGCAGTTGGACATGAATGTTCTGAAGCATTGCTGGAGGTACCTTGCCGTGGGCTCTACCAACCTGCCGAGACTGGCGTGGTCCCGGCTCTGTATTTGGATGAATCTGGCCTATGGTGGGCCCTGGGGCAGCCCCCAATCTAATCTATTGCTTATGAAGAGCCAGACCACCCATGGATTATCCACAAGCATCTGTGAATGGGTAATCAGGAGTTGGCTAAATCAAGCTGATGACCAAGAATGAACCTGATGGTCAGAAATGAAGCTTCCGGAACAACACGCAAGGGTGTGTTTGCCTACAAATTATGTTTAGGTCATCAAAAAGAATTATAGCATTATCTAGAGCTGGAAGTAACCAGAAAAACTTTTAGCTCCACCCCTCCATTTTTTTGCATGAAGGAAGTGAGGCACGGAGATTTTTATGTGAGTCATCCAAAGTCAACAGCAGTTAGTGATGCAGCCAGAACTAAGAACCCTGAGCTGACCTCTTCTCTCTTTTTCAGTGCTAAAACACACACACACACTCCACACAAGTTATTTTTAAAATAATCTGTAGTTCATTAGAGATTTACAGAAATCAGCTCTTTTATAAAAGGATATTTAGTGTATGGATGACCTCTTTAACTTAATTCTGACACAAACACTTGTATATAGAGTTTGGAAGTTGTAAGAAGCAAAATAAATTATTTCACATAAGATAATAGAGGCATTCTAAGGAGGAAAAGGACCGAGACCCTTACCTTTTAAATTAAAAAGAATTAAATCATATTGGTTCACCTGAAGTAGCCCTGTTCAAGGTAAGCAGAAAAGGAGATGAAGACTAAGCCTGGGTGGCTTAGTTGGTTAAACACCTGACTCTTGATTTCAGCTCCGGTCACGATCTCAGGGTTGTGAGATCAAGCCCTGTGTCTGGCTCTGTGCTCAGCTGAGTCTATTAGAGATTCTCTCACTCTCTTCCTCTGCCCCTCCCTCCTGTGCTCTCTCTCTCTCTAATAAATATAAATAAATCTCTTAAAAAAAGGAGATGAAGTTATTGATAGAGAGTTTACCTGAGACAAAATTTACCATGATGGTGTACCAGTAGATAAGCCTGGCACCCAAGGACTGGGAAGAAAACAGCTGTCCATACCAACATACCTGACCAAGACATTCTAGAATCAACTTGTGTTGGGGATGTGGCTGTCCTGATGTCTTCATAGAACCTAGGACAATTTTGATTCAGAATGTTCTTAGCTTAGCATACCACAGAGAAAAGAAGCCACCTTCTAAACACTGTAAGGAAGTGATACATTCTGAGCAAAGATGTATTTCAGCAGCAGTGACCTGAGCACAGGACTGCTATCAAGCCACATTTCTGAGGGCAGCCAAGGTTAGAGCCAAGGTTAGAGTTGTATTTACAACTGCAGCAAGTGGGTGCCAGGGACATTCTGAGTTTGTAGCTGCAGGCCAAAGACTGCTAGGCTTTTAGGAGGTGGCAACAACAAACTTTGGCTTTTGGTGTGCCTGTAATGATGCCACAGTTCTTTAGACTATGGGGTTTAATAGTGTCCTCTGGCCTCTGGCTTTAGTGTCAGCAATTACAGTAGGGCAGGATATAATGATTACCTAGTCGGGGCAGTGAATATGGATTCCTTCAACCTTTGCATCTTCTTTGCATCTCATCTGATTAGGGGTCAGCAGTCAAAGCTGGCTCTTTAGACATGAGTAAGCTTCCATACTTTCATCAGTTTTCTAAACTTGTTGTTCCTACAATACTGCAATTGATTTTATGGCTCTGAGTCTTTGCACCCTCTGTTTCCTCAGATTTGAATGTCCTCCTTCCAAAACCCCTAAATCCTACTACACTGCTTCCTAGTCTGACAAGATTGAGATCTAGCAATATTGCATTTACCTGTCCATTCATTCACTCAACAAATGTATTTCAAGTATCTATTATTCCCCAAAAAGAATGCAGAGGTGAATTAGGTCCTCTGCCCTTGAGCATCTTTCATTATAGGAAAGAGATAAAGACATGCAAATCGATATATTCAGTAAAGTCTTAGAGAAACTGAGATGAGGTCAGGTTCAAATGTAAGCCAAAAAGAGGGAACAATTAATGTGTCTGGGGGATTGGGAAGAGAAAAGATGAAAAAAATGAGGTATTGCATCTG